CTTAATAATGTTGGCTGAATGAATGCATCAACCATATTAGCAATTTGACCTTGTGACCTGCTGCTAGGTAAGAGCGTTACTTCTTTTTTTTTAATTGAGGTGAAATTCATGTAACATAAAATTAACCATTTTAAATTGAACAACTCAGCATTTAGTACATTCACATGCTGGGCCACCACCAACCCCATCTGGTTCCATGATATTTTCATCACCCCAAAAGGAAACATCATACCCAAGAAGTTACATTCCCATTTTCCCCTCCCCACAGTTCCTGGAAACCACCAATGTGTTTTCTGTTTTTATGAATTCACCTATTCTGAATTTAAATTATTACTACTATTATTTTATAGATAACTATATGAGGCAGCTCCTATGCACCAGGCACGGTGTGAGGGCATTTCCCATGCACTGCTTAAGCACCCCTCCACACTGTTTTCTGGTACAGAAATCAACTAAAAAGAAGGTGATTTTCCCAACAAATGAGCCCAAAGGAGAAGGCATTCCTTTGTTTAGAGGAGGAACACTGAGCCTGTCCTTTCTCCACTACTGAGAGTCTTCATGTCTTTGCTCCTCTCGTGACCACCAAGAGCAGAACTGGGCTATCCTACAGCTTCTGGATCTAAGAGCAGAGACCAGCGCTGGAGGCTGAGAGTGAAAACTAGCAATCCGACAGGCTCAGGGAGGAAACCAGAGGAAAATGGAAGAGAGGAAAACAGATCAGATCAGACAGATTAAACCGAGCCACGCAGAAGCCCTTCCTTGATCTCATCCCTCTTCCTTGCCTTATTCTCTCTGGGAACAGCATAAAAGGAGAGCAAGGAGGCAAGGTCAGGCCAGGGAGGCAATGGAGGAAGAGAATGAAAATTTGAGGCTTATGAGGAGGGTACCAGTGAAAGCTGCAGATTGAGGGAAGAAGTAGGAGACAGGGCCTGAGGAGACGAGGAAGCTAACGGCCTCAGAGTGTGGGGGCAGTGTCATGCCAGGAAACACACTAGGCATGGCTACCCAAGATGGGAACATAAGCTCTCCTGGCCAAAGTCACCATCCCAGGACCACCTGCTATGACCCCATATTGGCAACTTCTTGAAAGCTGCCCTCAGCATCCCTCCCTGCAGGACAGTGAATTGCCATGATCAATCCCTTCTGCACCCCACAACTAAGCAGCAATTTAAATAGATTGCCTTACTTTGGAGAGAAACCAACCAGTTTCTACCTCTAGAAGAGAAACAGCTAGGGCCTCCTTGGGCTGGGGCAGAGCTGGGGCCAAGGCTTCTCCATGTGTCATGGGATATGAGCTCATCCTCATTATACTGGGTGGGGGCTGGACAGTTACCTAGACTTGTCATGTGGACTCAGAGCCCACGAGATCATTCACACAGGCACTGAGATAATCTGCCCCATATACATGCATGCCTGGCCCCCAGATGGGGCAACCTGAGGGCAGAATATAGGGCCTTTGAACCCCAGAAGACTGGGGCCTCTCCAAGCCCTCTCTGTACACACATACACACCCCCAGCTCTATTTTCTGCCCTCCTTCTCACACTCTAGCTTTGCCCAGCGGTCAAAGGCTCACACGTACTGTCTTCTCCTGAAAGCTCTCATTATGCTGTGAATCAGAGGGCGGGAGGCAGATCTGGCAGATACTGGGCCCCTGGAAACCCATACGACTGGTATGACCTCTTTGAGCCAAGTCTACTGTCCTGGGAATGACTGTCATGGACTGGGGAGAGGCAGATTCTCTACATGTGAGGTCAGCAGCAGAACACAAGGGCATCGGTGCCCACGTGAGGATGTTCAGTTAGCTTTCTGTGATGGAGTGAGGGGTGTTTTCTCTACCCCAACAAAATGACACAGTCCCTATTTTATGGGGGAGACCCTGTGAGATCCCGGGTAGGCTCCAGAAACAGAGAAGGTGTGAGGAGAAGGTAGCATTTTAGCACCTTGTGAGCCATCCATCTGTCTCTTCAGACATGCTCCAGAAACATGGCGGAATTGGCACTGTAAATAGGTCTATCAGGAAAACTATGGGGAATCAGAACACTTATCAAAATTAGCCCCATTGAATATTGCCTTCATATTGTTCTTTCTTTTTTTGATTAGGTTGTAAAGAAGAGAGTTTAAATAAGTGATGTTCACACAAGAAGCTATTAACCAACCATTGAAAAGAAAGGGAAGTCACAACTCAGTTTTGCTTTTACACACATACGTAAACATGCATCAACACTAAATGTTCAATAGTGGTTACCTCCAGGTGGTGAGATCCACTGTTCATTCATTTCTTCAACTAATACTTGAAGAGCACAAGTATTATATGCATAGCTTTGATAGATTCTGGGAACATAGAGGAAAACACATCAGCTTTACCCAGCTCTTGGCTTATTTTCCATTGGGAATTGGGAGAGACAGACAATGGACATGAAAGCAAACAAAAATAAATTCTTCTAGGTTGTTATTCATGAAATGAAGCAAACAGAGGATCATTCTTTAGATAGAGTAGTCAGAAAAGGCTCTTGACAGACCCCGACATTTCAACTGATGCTGCAAAGCACAATAGAGCCAGAGACCTGGGGAGGAACCTGCTGTCAGAGGGAGAGCAGTTGCCGAGACCCCAAGGTGGGGAACTCTGGACTTGTCCTAGGAACTGAGGCTTTCAGTGAAGTAGGAGTGCACCCATCAGGGAAAGAATGTCATAGTCGAGGCCCCAGAAAAAGACTGAAGCCCAGTACACCAGGGCCTTTCAATCCACTGCAGTGAGTTGATTTTATGTCAAGTGCCTTGGGTCACCATTGGCATTGGGGAGGCACATGCTCCAATCTCCATGGAAAGATTTCTTAAGCTCTTTATAGGTAACGACTTTTAGAAGGCAATGGACAATGTAGTTCTGATCCTTATACCTTCATGTGTTTTAAAATATAATTATAGGAATGTATGTTTTATTATCATAAAAATCAATACCTATTTTATAAGTTGTATATATTCTACCCTGTTTCCTTGTCTAGAGTGAGCCATGTTTTGAAGTTTTTATAAGCATGGCCTTCTTTGGAATATGTGTAACTAAAGGCTTGGGCAGGGGGTCTGGGCAACCCCTGGTACATAGCAGGAGACCCCATAGAATTCTCCCACTCGAATCTATTTGACCTAAAGCAGACTCTCCTATAAAGAGAGAGTTTACTTCCACACTGAATATAGTCATAGATATGTTCTGAGAGAGGATAGGCTTGTGGCTCAAGAGAATGCCCTAGCAGTCCTGTCCTATCATGAGATGTGACTCTTCTCATCTTCACGCCAAATTCCCAGCCTAGACATTCCAGAAAGACACACAACTTTCCACTCCATGTTCTTAGAAGTGAATCCCTCAACCTATAATGAGAAACCTCATTGAAAAGGTGAAGAAATTGAGATTCAGAGCCGAAGTTTGGCTGAGGTCACAAAACAATAGGATTCCTTCCTCTCCTCCCTCATCTCTCCTGTGCCCAAGTCAGGTGAGTATCACAAGAGTAGCTGAGCCCCCAGAACCCTCTGGCTAGGAAGGAGTTATGTGTCCCTGGGAAAACGGGCCCTGAGGGGTTTGCTGCTCAAGATGCCTGTGGTGAGTCAGGAAGGGGCTGGAGGAAGTTGACCAACCAGGGTGGTGAAACCTGTCCATCACCTTCAGTCTGGAAGGAGGCCAGTCTGGGAATAGATAAAAGGATGCCTGGGCCCTGCTCAGCTCAACACTCCACAAAAGCGTCTGCCTCAGTCCTATTGTGAGCCTGGTAAGTGTCAGCTGGCAGAAACAGGGTTGGGATTGGGGACCTCCAACAGCACAGGATGTAGCTAAGGGTGGCCTGCCTGGGTGGGTGTGGGCATTGCTCTGAGACTAGATTCAGCTGGACTGACCACCATTCCTCCGGGGGTTGGGGGTTGAGTTCCTGTCCTGAGGGAAAGATGCTGTGGCATAGACATGCACAGCAGAGGGGAATCGTCCCATACCCCATCTTTCCTTTGGTCCCTATTTTGGGATTTGTGTGTGTGTGTGTGTGTGTGTGTGTGTGAGAGAGAGAGAGAGAGAGAGAGAGAAATAAAGTGGGGGAATAGCAGCTGATATCTTTCCTAAACTCTTGGATTTGGACTGAGTGTGATTTTATCTTCTCTATGGGAGAAGGAGTTCAAGGAAATACTTGTAACCTTTGGCTGTGCTGCACAAAGAAGGGATTGCAGCATGGGAAAAACTTTCCTTTGGAGAAACCCAGGCAGAATAGGGGTAAGAAAATCCAACTGAGAAGTACAAGACTTGAAAGAACAAGCTCGAACTCTCAGAAACCTTCCATTTCTCCCCAGTACCACCTTAGGTACTTAGATTGTAGCTAAACCTCAAAAGGTCAGGAGAGAAAGGAACTCCGGGGTTGAACAGACCAAACTGTTAATTTTACAGATGAGAAATATCAGGTTCAGGGGGACCAAGTGACATGGCCAGAAACATGCAGCATTTCAGGCTCAGGATTGTGATATAGCTCTAGTCCAGGGCTCATGCTGTGACCTCTCAGATCCTCTCTGGCATAGGCTGTTGGTTTTCCAGGACTCAGCATCTTCCAGGAGACCTTCCTTTCCCTAGGTCCTTACCTATTCCTGTAACACAATCCCAGAACTCATCTCTCCTTTTTGGTCAGTGGACAGATGAGGGCAGACATGAGGATTAGAGAAGAGCCAAAGGTTAGCTAGCACCTAGCCACCCTTGCAGGACATCTCTAGAGACAGACCTCCTACTGGCTTTTGTTTGGGAACAAGGAGGCTCCCAGGAGGACCTTTTCCTGTCCCTCTCCACTACCACTCTTCACTCTCCACTGCTTCTGGGGAATGGCAGCCCAGAGTGGGTGGGAGATTGTCCTGCCCAAGGAAAGAAAACATGCTGAGAAAGCAGGTACTGCTGCAGATTTCAGGGGTTCATCTACTTCCTTTACCTTCAGCCAATGCCTCTGACCTCTCTTGTTTTTTAGGTTAACCTACATTAGCTTCTAAGATGTCCCAGCAGGAAACACTGCCAGTGACCCTCCCCCCTGCCCTCAGTCAGGAACTCCTCAAGACGGTTCCTCCTCCGGTCAATACCCAGCAGGATCAAATGAAGCAGCCGACTCCATCGCCTGCCCCATGCCAGAAGGGGCCCTCCGAACTCCCAGTGGAGAAGCACCCAGATCCTGTAAAGCAGGTGCCCGAGCAAGAATGTGAGCCACAGCAGCAGGACCACCAGGAGCCAGAACTGCAGCTGGGAAGGAAGCAGCAGGAGCCACAGGAGCAAGAAGTGCACCCAGGAAAGCAGCAGCAGAAACCACAGGAACAAGAAGTGCATCTGGGAAAGAAACAGGAGCCACAGGGACAGGAAGTGCACCTGGGAAAGCAGCAACAAAAAACACAGGAACAGGAAGTGCATCTAGGAAAGCAGCAGCAGGAGTTGCAGGAGCAGGAAGTGCACCTGGAAAAGCAACTGCAGGAGCAGGAAGTGCACCTGGAAAAGCAACTGCAGGAGCAGGAAGTGCACCTGGAAAAGCAACTGCAGGAGCCGCCAGAGCAGGAATTGAACTTGGGAAAGCAGCAGCAGGAACCTCAGGAGCAGGAAGCGTACCTGGGAAAGCAGCAGCAGGAGCTGCCGGAACCTCAGGACCCAGAATTGCACCTGGGAAAACAGCAGCAAGAGCCTCAGGAGCAGGAAGTGCACCTGGAAAAGCAACAAGAGGCTCAGGAGCAGGAGTTGCACCTGGGAAAGCAACAGCAGGAGTCTCAGGAGCAGGAACTGCACCTGAGAAAGCTTCAGCAGGTGCCTCAGGAGCCTCAGGACCAGGAATTGCACCTGGGAAAGCAACAGCTGGAGCTGCAGGAGCAGGAAGTACACGTGGGAAAGCAATTGCAGGAGCCTCAGGAGCAGGAACTGCACCTGGGAAGGGAGCAGCAGGAGCTGCAGGAGGAGGAAGTGCACCTGGGAATGAAGGAAGAGCAAATGTTGAAGCACTTGGAGCAGCAGGAGGGGCAGCTGGAGCAGCAGGAGGGGCAGCTGAAGCAGCCTGTATGTATCCCAACACCTGGTCAGATCCAAGACATCCAGCCAGCCCAGCCCCCAAAGGGAGAAGTCTTGCTCCCCACAGAGAAGCAGCAGAAGCAGGAGGTACAATGGCCACTCAAACAAGAATAATTACCTCTAGTGTCCAGAGGCCCTCAGATTATCCTGTACAAGGAAAGAGAAAGCCACCAGCTTCACTTACCTCAGGTCCCTGGGTGACCTAACTCATCTGTGAACCTGACTCTGTCCCTCTGCGTGTCCCTTTCATGGGGCAGAGGCTAGGGGAGGAAGTTATTGCCCAGTGCCACCCCCAATGAGCCCAAGCCCAACCTCAGGCGAGCAGAGCCTCTGCTTGAGAATCTGTTAGTACTATAGTAATGCTGACTTCACCCACGGTGTTGGGACTGAATCTGTGAGTGTGTACAATGATGCATAATAAATCCTGGAACTGTTGAGATCCTGCATTCTCTCTGGCTTTTTCTCCCTTGTCTCTCATAACATAAAAACCTGTGTGTGGGTCAATGGTTGCAGTTGTTTCTCTTGGTTTACTCTCAAGGAAAACAGACATCTTGACCTTCTTTAATTTTGCTCCCCACACCACTTAATATATTCAACAGATTCTAAAAAAGAAACAAAACCCAAACCAAATAAGAACAACTTCACTTATGTACCTGAAAGCAACACTTGCCAGTCATGAAGAAGGATAAACTGTTCTGGTTGAGAGGAAGAGGGTCTATCCACCTCAGTCCAACACTATCTCATACTACCCACACATGTCCAATCCAGCCTATGGCCGAGATCTGCCCTACTTTTCTCCTCTTGACTCAGCTCCTCTTAAGAGGGAGGGGACTGGGAAGATACTGGGAAAGATTGTGAACTCTGTCTAGTTCTAGTTCCTTCCTTGGAAGCATCCCAGGCTCTTCTTCCTGGGTATTTTCTCTATAGAATGTTCTCATGATTTCCAAGAGTTTTATGGACTTCCTACTTGGCTAAGGATGACTTTAGAAAAGCAGCAGGAGCAGAATTGGGCAAGGTGGGGGAGAGAAGGCTTTCTGGGACTCTCTGGGAGGAAGTGACAGCCTTATTAAAGGAAGTAAATGTAGGACCAGCAGCAATCAAGGAAGCCAAGAGCACTGACTGGGCTGGAGAAATGCAGACCCAGAGTCATCACTACTGTCACCTCTCCACCCTATTTCCTGGCTACCTGACATTTCCATAGCTTCTACTACCATCAATCACATTAAGACCTGGGGCTTTCTTCTTCTTCCTGGGAAAAGCACTGCCTTTAATTCTTCAAATAGCTTGCTTTTAAATATGTACCCACATCTTCTTAGGCAGACTGTTTCAAGCTACTTAAAATTATTTTACCACAGGAATGAAGATTCACCAGGGACTTTCCTGTTGAGGTGTCTGCAGGCACTCAAGTACAATAGACCTGCATGGGGGGGCATTTAGTATTTCTTCTTCCCCACCCAACCTCCAGCAACACTCACAGGGCTTCCTCCTTAAGTGTTCTCTCTTGTGGGTAGTGATACCACCATCTGTGCATTCACAATCATCATTCCTCCTTCTTTCTTCTCTTTCCCACTCCCCCAAGGATCAAGTCCTTGATATCACCACCTGACATCAGCCTGAGGTTGTTTCTCACCTGAACTGTTGCAATAGATTTCCAACTGGTCTCTCTTGCTCTGTACTTCCACACACCCAACAATCCACCCATCACAACAGGATGGTCTACTTAAAATTCCAATCTAACCGCATCCCTCTTTGGGTTAGCATTTATCAATGGTTCTCATGGCTTAGGCCATGAGAATGTAGGTTCAAGTCCGCCTAAGAGGGTAGGACTGAGCAGGGAGATTGGGGTCAGAGGGAAGAGTAATCAGAAACACCCACAGTGTGCATATTTTCTTTGACGTCTTGGTTTAATTTTTTTTATAAACTTTATGAGTATTTTTTAGAACAGCTTCAGATTTACAGAAAAATTAAGAAGATACTACAGAGAGTTCTCATACACTCTACAACCAGTTTCCCCTATTATTAACATCTTACATTAGTAGGGAATATTTGTTACAACTAACAAAACAATACAGATGTACGATTATTAAAGTTCATGGTTTATTATATGTCCTTAGTTTTTATCTAATGTCCTTTTGCTGTAGTTATATCCCATTCAGGATATTGCATTACATTTGGTTGTTGTCTCTCCTTAGGTTTCTCTTGACTGTGACAGTTTCTCAGACTTGTTGTTGCTGCTGTTTTTGATGACCTTGACAATTTTGAGAGGTCAAGTATTTTGTAGAACATTCTCAATTTGGGTTTTTCTGATATGCTTCTCATGATTAAATTGGGGTATGGATTTTTAAGAGGAAGATCAAAGAAGTAAAATACCATTCTCATCACAACATATAGAGTATATGTATTATCAAACGTGACCCACCACAGTTGCTATGAATCTTGATCACTTGGCTGAGATAATGTGAGTCAGGTTTCTCCACTGTAAAGTTACACTCATCATCCTCCCTCTTCCCCTCTCCTGACAGTGTACTCTGGAAAGAAATCACTATGTAAAGCTCACAGATAAAAGTAGAAAGTAAATCTCCCCATAATTTGTTGTTCAAATTGTTCCAGCTTTGGCCATTGGGAGCTCTTTCAGTTGACTATGTCCTTTGATATTTTCCCATTAATGCAGGACCTTTCTCTCTCTCTCTCTCTCTCTCTCTCTCTCTCTCTCTCTCTCTCTCTGTCTGTCTCTTTCTCTCTCTTCCCATCTCTCTTTCTCTCTCCCTCCTCCTCCTTTCTCTCTCTCTCCTCCCTCCTCCTCCCTCTCCCTTCCTCCCTGCCTCCTTCCATCATTTCTTTCTTTCTTTCTTTTTTCTTTCTTTCTTTCTTTCTTTCTTTCTTTCTTTCTTTCTTTCTTTCTTTCTTTCTTTCTTTCTTTTCTTTTCTTCCTTCCTTCCCTCTCAATTTGTTTCGTTTTTTAGTACTTCTTTACTTTCTGGGACTATGAGATTTTCTAGGCTCATATTATATATCTCCTGCACCAGTCACAGAATCAATAATTTCTACAAGTCTTGTGTAATTTTATTGGAGAATGGTGTTAGAAACCAAGGCCTGGCACTGGGTGTGATTATTATGACTGGGATATCATTTCATTTGGGCTTTCTTAACTGTCAAAGAAAATAAATGTGTATACCTTAATCCATGTGTGTGTGTCTCTATATGTAATCCTATGTATCTATATTAAGCTAAGCATGGGTTCATACCAATGTCTCCAACTATACTCCATTACCACATGGATCATTCTAGTCTCCTCCCCTTTTTTGTCTGAAAAGTCTCACTTTAACAGTGATAAATCTGACTCCTGTCTGCCATTCATTTTCTTAATAATTCATCTTCAATATACATGTTTAGCAGAATCAGAATTGTTAACATGAAACCCCTTTTTCACGGGAGACATATTTATCAACTAGAGCAGGCATATCCAACCTGTAGCCTGTGGGCCGTATGCGGCCCAGGACAGCTAGTAATGTAATCTCACAAAATCTTTTAACATGATGTAATTTTTGGAATTTATTTTCTTCATGACCCCATGCATATTTCCATTTTTGAAGTTCACAATTACTCATTCATGACATCACTTTTGGGCAACACATACATTTGTGAGCAGCTGTTTTCAATTATGAAGCACACAAAAAGCAAAACTTGAACAAACATTTCTGACAAGCATCTTGAGAATTCACTAAGAATTGCAATCTCTTCCATTGAATCAGACATTGATAGATCAATTTTACAAAAGCAAGGGCAACTTTCTTATAAAACAACTTTCCCATAAAACAACTTTCTCATAAAACAACTTTCCCACTAATTTTATGTTGTTCTCTTTTTTCTAAACTTTATAATAAAAATATTTTTAAAAGAAGTCTTATTATATATATACACTAGCTTTACTGTATAATTTATGTGCAGCCCAAGACAATTTCTCTTTACTTGATGTAGCCCAGGGAAGCCAAAAAGTTGTACACCCCTGAACTAGAATTCAATGCTTATGAGCAGTTTCCTTCACCTTTAGTCTTACAGACTTCACTCAGTTCTAGTTAATTAGGTCAGCACCTTTTCCCCACCCCTTCAGTGAGGTTGTTCCATACATTTGTAATACAGATGTATTTTCTTGTCACTGTCTACATTCCTTCTTGGGATCCCCTAACTTCTTAAATGATTAAGATTTACACACATTAAATTTTATCCTCAGTGCTGTAAAATTCTATAGGTTTAGACAAATGCATAATGTTATGTATCCATCAGTAAAGATTTGTTTTGTCACTCCAAAAAAAATATCATTCATGATTCATCTATTCAACCTTTCCTTGCTCCAAATCCCTGGAAACCACTGATCTTTTTACTGTCTCTGCAACTTTGCCTTTCCAGAATGTCATATAATTGGAATCCTACAGGATATACCTTTTCACATTGGCTTCTTTGACTTAGCAATATGCATTTATGGTTTAGCTATATCTTTTCATGGTTTGCTAGCTCATTTCTTTTTATCACTGGTAATATTCCATTTTATGAATGTACCACAGTTTGTTTATACATTCACTTATTGAAGGACATCTTGGTTGCTTCCATTTTTTGTTGACTATGAATAAAACCACTATAAATCTTTGTGTGTAGGGTTTTGTGAAGACATATGTTTTCAAATCAGTTGAGTAAATCTTTATGGGTACAATTGCTGAATCATATGGTAAAATACTATATTCAGCTTTAAAAGAAACAGGCAAACTCCCAAAGTAGTTTTACTATTTTGCATTCCCACCAGCAATGAATTAGCATTCCTGTTGCCTGGTATCTTTATCAGCACTTGGTGTTGCTTATTTTTTGGATTTTTGCCATTCCAGTAGATGTGTAGTGGTATCTTATTATTGTTTCAAGTTGCAATTCCCCAAAAAGTGATGTTGAGTATGTTTTCATATGCTTATTTTCCATTTGCATATCTTCTTTAATCAAATGTCCAGATCTTTTGCCCATTTTAAATTGGATTATTCTTTTCTTTTCCTGTTAAGTTTTAAAATTTTTAAAATATGTTGGAGTCATCAGATATGTGTTTCACCAATATTTTCTCTTAATCTGTGGCT